AATATAGTTATCGTTATAGTTATCGTCCGCTAGTGTGGACACTAATATAGTTATCGTTATAGTTATCATCCGCTGGTGTGGACACTAATATAGTTATCGTTATAGTTATCATCCGCTGGTGTGGACACTAATATAGTTATCGTTATAGTTATCGTCCGCTGGTGTGGACACTAATATAGTTATCGTTCGCTGGTGTGAACACTAATATAGTTATCGTTATAGTTATTGTCCGCTGGTGTGGACACTAATATAGTTATCGTTATAGTTATCGTCCGCTAGTGTGGACACTAATATAGTTATCGTTATAGTTATCGTCCGCTGGTGTGGACACTAATATAGTTATCGTTCGCTGGTGTGAACACTAATATAGTTATCGTTATAGTTATTGTCCGCTGGTGTGGACACTAATATAGTTATCGTTATAGTTATCGTCCGCTGGTGTGAACACTAATATAGTTATCGTTATAGTTATTGTCCGCTGGTGTGGACACTAATATAGTTATCGTTATAGTTATTGTCCGCTGGTGTGAACACTAATATAGTTATCGTTATAGTTATCGTCCGCTGGTGTGGACACTAATATAGTTATCGTTCGCTGGTGTGAACACTAATATAGTTATCGTTATAGTTATTGTCCGCTGGTGTGGACACTAATATAGTTATCGTTATAGTTATCGTCCGCTGGTGTGAACACTAATATAGTTATCGTTATAGTTATTGTCCGCTGGTGTGGACACTAATATAGTTATCGTTATAATTATCGTCCGCTGGTGTGGACACTAATATAGTTATCGTTATAGTTATCGTCCGCTGGTGTGGACACTAATATAGTTATCGTTATAGTTATCGTTCGCTGGTGTGAACACTAATATAGTTATCGTTATAGTTATTGTCCGCTGGTGTGGACACTAATATAGTTATCGTTATAATTATCGTCCGCTGGTGTGGACACTAATATAGTTATCGTTATAGTTATCGTCCGCTGGTGTGAACACTAATATAGTTATCGTTATAGTTATTGTCCGCTGGTGTGGACACTAATATAGTTATCGTTATAATTATTGTCCGCTGGTGTGGACACTAATATAGTTATCGTTATAGTTATCGTCCGCTGGTGTGAACACTAATATAGTTATCGTTATAGTTATTGTCCGCTGGTGTGGACACTAATATAGTTATCGTTATAATTATCGTCCGCTGGTGTGGACACTAATATAGTTATCGTTATAATTATCGTCCGCTGGTGTGGACACTAATATAGTTATCGTTATAATTATCGTCCGCTGGTGTGGACACTAATATAGTTATCGTTATAATTATCGTCCGCTGGTGTGAACACTAATATAGTTATCGTTATAGTTATTGTCCGCTGGTGTGGACACTAATATAGTTATCGTTACAATTATCGTCCGCTGGTGTGGACACTAATATAGTTATCATTCCTGGTGTGTATGTGCTTTAACTAACCCGACCCTGAATACTTGATGTGTGCTCCAGTGCGAGTGTTTGTGCTCTGACACGATTCTGTCACGTACTTTCGCCAGCGAGCGTCTCCCTCTCTCCCATAATCCTCCTCGCAGAACCCCGACTTTAAGGACAGCGGGTTTATTTATTCATGCCTCTTCTGGTTTACTGGAGCTTCTGATGCCTCGACACAGATTTGCACTTTCCTCTGGCGTGCGTTCATGTGCCGCCCGCAGGAGAGACTCGCGTGTGTTTCCCTGACGGCTGTCAGATTCGCTCACGTCCCGAATCTCCCACCAGTGAGTTCAGGATCCCAGAGTCCTCAAAAACCCAGCGAAAACACGCCAGAGAGGAAATCTGAGCGTAGGACCCTTACTAAAAGTGTACGTGTGCCTGAAAGCCAAAACATATTTATAAATACTTATAAACCCAGTCAGCGGAAGATTGTGAACCCGCGTCTCCTCCCCGAAATAACCATATATGAGTTTACAACGCCTCGTTTACTATGCAGATCCTCATTTGCATATCATTTGCATATGCATATTCATCCACGTGATGCCATGTTTAACGGTACGAGACATTAGTAGATTATGAGATACGGATGTGCGTCACATTACTACATAACAATCATTTAGTAGCCGATCCTTGCCTTGTGTTTGAATAAACCGTCAAGTTTGTTTGTATAAATCAGAACTCATGCGTGGGAAGTGGCGTACGAATCTTTCAGGGCCGGTTTTGTGTGACGCGACGGTTATAAACGAGGCCCGAGCTGATATTTACATTTAAAGGGGCGGTTGGTTATGATGTCACTTCTCTAACTGTAGTTAGTGTGTAATGTTGCTTTTTGAGCGTAAACAACATCTGCAAAGTTACGACTCAAAGCTCAGAGCAAAGGGAGAGATTTACTTTTACAGAAACTGCTTTTTAAGGACTACAACAAACGGCTGGTAGGAACTACACGAGCTTCCTCACGGGTTAGTGACATCACGAACCCTAAAATTTACATAAACCCCGCCCCCAGAACACGATTTATAGATTATCATTACAGAATATGCTAATCAATGACTAGAAGATAGTTAACTCCACATCAGCAGCAGCTCATTTGCATTTAAAGGCACACACACAAAAACGGCGTGTTTTTGCTCACCCTCAAAAAGTGACCATTTTAACATCCTTTAAAAACATCTGTGGGGTATTTTGAGCTGAAACTTCACACACACACACTCTGGGGACATCAGAGACTCACTTTACATCTTGTGAAAAGGGCATTATAGGACCCTTTAAATGTTTGTCCTAAAAGTCCTTTGAATAAACCAAGAATCAAAATTGGTGGTTGCAAACATTCTTAACTTTAACACAGTGATTAATGAGTGAGTTAATTAATTCTTCTCATTAATTAAATGCATATTTATGTCTTCACAGCTCCGGAATCTGATCGAATGAAGGACACGAGCGTCGACCCCTGCCAGCCAATCAGCTCTCGCGCTCAGCTGACAGGCGCAGCTGCTTGACCAATCACAGCAGGGATGTGCCAGAGGTGGGTGGGGCTTGAGTGCTGGAGTGGCAGTGTTCGGTGTGGAACGCTCAGAGAGAGAGAGAGAGAGAGGAGAGACAGCGCTCCGTTCGTCCGATACTCCTGCGCGTCTCTCTCACTGCAGCTCTGTATGCGAGTGTGTGTGTGTGTGTGTGAGAGCGTATATGTGTGTGTGTTCATGTATGCCGGCAGCAGCTGCATCGCTCCTTCATCCTCTTCATCTTCATCTTGCGTTCGGAGTGAATTCACAGCATTGGCGCACGATCCTGCTCATCTGTTGCCTTGGTGATGGGCTGTCGACTGTCAGGGCCGTGGATGGGCGACGGGATGGGGGTGAGTCCAGTGTGTGTGTGTGTGTGTGTAAATGTTCACGATTGTGTGCTGATGGTGATTAGGAGTGACAATGCTGCTGGTTCAAACACACACACACATACACACACGTGTGCCGTCTCTCTCTCATGACTCATGCAGTGATGTGTGTCGGTATGAAGATGCAGCATGATTTTCGTCATGTGTGTGTGTGTGTGTGTGTGTGTGTGAGGTACGAATCCGGTCAGCTGTGGTGCTGAGTGAGGAAAATGTTCACACAGCTGCGCTTCAGTCAGCCTATACCAGTGACAAACCGAATCAGGTTAAATCGAGCGTACGCTAAAACGGCTGAACGCGCGAGATCCTGACTGAAATTAATTGCGTTTTCTGTTGATTTGTCTGTCGTTCAGGTTCACGGTCAGGATTTGACGCACCTGCAGAAGCGAGAGGCCTTCCGTATCCTGGCCAGCTACGAGCAGCCAATCACGCTCCAGATCGAGGGGAGGGGGCGGAGCCTGCAGTATAACCGAACGACGGATTGCAGCACGCAAACGGAGCGACCGTGGGATCCTCTCCGTCCGCACTCGTGTTCCCTGCCTCGTCTGCCTCCCTCGGACAGGTGCGACACACCTGTAGCTCACCGGCGCCACCTGCAGGACAAACACAGACATGCAGCCGTTCACACACAACACAATCTCGCGCTGAAAATAGCCAATGTATAGTGCTAGTTTATGAGCGTTGCGTTTTTAAGTACAAAATAGTTGCGTTCAATTAAATTATTGAAATGACGAGTGTGTCTTGTGTAGTGCTGGGCGGTATACCGGTTCATACTGAATACCGGTGTTTATTTTTGTTATGATATAAATTTTTAATATACTGCAATACCGGTGGTGTTTGTCGCTTTAACAGCGTTGGGAATGCGGCGCGACACAGTTTGAGAGGGTCTTTTCACTGTTCACTGGTGATGCACTGCTGTGTGTGTTGCTGAGCCTGACAGTATGTGTGTGTGTGTCCTCTCTCAATCAGTAGAACATGTGGTTAGCACCCAGTCATGCTTGAAAAAATAAAATACCATCATATACCGTGTAACCGGAATGTAACTCGACACCCTTGCCTCATTAAGTATACGGTTCTATGAATATGCAGATGAGCCCCGCCTCCACTCACTCACTCAGCTCAGAGATCCACTGGTTGACGATCACACGTTGATCTGATTGGTTACAAGGTCGTTTGTGACGTCAGAAACACCAGCGATTTCAAACCGTGTTTTTGAGACTGTCTTTGGTTCACTGCAGTTTTAAGCAGAAAATACTCAGCAATGCTGTCGACTTATGAACTTTCACACTTGTCTTAAAGCATATTAAAAACACCACATATAAACAACATTAAGAGATGGATTTTCACCACTGGGGGGCTTTAAAATGTTCTTCACGCTAAGAAAATAATGGTTTTATGAACTGAACAGAACCAAAAATGGTTCTTCTCCGGGATCACTGCGAAAACCTCCTTATTTAAAGAGTGTAACTAGAAGAATAACAAAGTGCAGTAAATGGTAAACTATTTGTGCTACATCCCAGTGTGTTCATGATTACGATAATATATTAAAATAATATGAATATGAATAGTTTGCACTGTAGCAGAACTGTTTTTGTACAGCTTAAATAACTAGAAGCGAACGATAACGAAAGCTTCACTGATGTCGACACACGCTCTTACGTTAAAAAAATACTAACGTTTGTGTTGCAACACTGTTTGAACTTAGTGATTTCAATGGCCATGTTGTGTTTGAAGGACAGGACTTTTTAAAGTACTCTGTCATGTGACCAAAAGTTGCTAATTTTAATTATGCCTGAGAAGCACTGACCAATGAGAATGTCCATCTATGCCTCTCAAAACACACGTTCCCATCCGTCACGCTCCGTCAGAGCCTTTTCTAGCATGTAAATGGCCTTAAGGCACAGTCATGATGCTAGGTTTTGCATCCATGCGCATGTAAACGCGGGAGAATGTGCATGCGAGCATATTTTATCCCTTGCTGCATTCTGAAGTTTCATCATGTGTGGTGAACGCTCACCTCTTGAGTTCATATAGCGAAAAGACGTTTGATCAATTGAGATCCTTTCCAGTCTAGAAGGATAAACATCAAGCATGCAGTGGATCCGGACTAAAAACATGATTAGCGAGCAATTAGCTCCTGAAATTAAACATTTAGGAACCAAATTAAATTTGAGTTGCCAAATTCGGCATTTGAGAAGAAAAACTGAGTGCGTAGCTTCTTACTTAGCTTAGAAGTCAAAGTTGTGTGTTGTCATTAAGGGACATTTTAGTATTTTGAGTATTGAAATAAGTTTTAATTTGGTGCTGGCACTGATTATGTCCCATATAATTATAATACAAAAAATTATAAGAACATTTCTTACACTTTGAAGAAGTTACATGTGTTGATTATTGTTCCAAACATGTCATCCACTTTTCTGCTTACTCCTAAAGAAAGTTTCCCTTCAGCCTCTCAGTGCTGCTAAACCATAACTAATAATATTTTTGTACAAAAATAAATACTTAAATGTTTTTAATATTTATCTTTAATTACACATGGTTAAATGAACAAACAGTCAGATTCATATAAATGATCTCACTAACCCGGAGTTAGTCCTAGTAACGGTTCCCGGTTCTTTTCAAACGAAAAATGCGCGCTTTTCCGTGAGGGCGTCGGTTGAGAACTCCGTAACGGCTCTGAACGATTCTCTGATTGAGAGACCAAAAGTGCTTCGACTTCCAGGTTGTTTCGTGGATCTTTTTTGTGACTAATTCAAAAGAACTGGTTCACAAGAGTCATTTGCACGCGAATCACGATTCAACACGAGTTCGAGGTTGTTTCGTGAATCTTTTCGACTGACTTATCCAAAAGAACTGGTTCATGAGAGTCGTGAATCATAATTCACAACGAGTTCGGTGTTGTTTCGTGAATCTTTTTGACCAAAAGAACTGGTTTACAGGAGTCATTTGCACGCGAATCGGATATAACCTCTGTCCTAACCTAACCAAAATAAGAAAAAGTTTTCCCGATTTTCTAAATGTATTTGATTTTAAAATTATTGTTAAATATTTAATATCTAAGTCGCAGTTTGGTGGCCTGAGATTGATACCGAACACGGAGGAAAACTCTTATTTTGCACACACACATATATTGCATTTAGTGGTGTTTAATAGGAAAAAACATTACTATTACTATACTTATAAACGACCCATTACTGTTAATTATAAACTACCCATTACTGTTAATATTACTATTTATGTAATATTCATAGTTCATATAACCATCATACTCTTTGTAGGCGTCTTTATGCTGCGGTTGGTCTTTATATCAGAATGAGGTCAGATCTTTATAAACACAATGACAGCATCTTGTATGAAGGGGGCGTGTCCTATAGCTGGAGGGAGGGGGCGTGGCTTGTGTTATCAACCTTTAATATTCACACATATATATTTAAGTGTAATATATGAGTGTTTTGTTGTTGTCTTCTCAGGATGTACTACAATCACATGACCCTGCCCATGAACCGTAGAGAGGGAAGCAGGTACGAGTATCTGCCAAACACGCCCAGAGACCTGGAGCACAGGGAACGCCTGGCCTACAACGTGAGTTATTAACCTAATCACATTATGATGATTATCAGCTGGTAATATTCATGAGGAGATGCATATAGTTATGGATTTACCCTTTATGTGGAGAAAAACAGTGTGTGACCACTAGTGTCTGATACGTGCCACATTTTAAAGGTCATGCAAACAATAATTTAGGTTGAATATCGAGTATTTCTTTCCAAATCCATTCCGCAATGGCTTAAATTACTTTTTAAAAGCAGTTGTTTCATACTTTGTGTGTGTGTGTGTGTGCGTGTGTGTGTGTGAGTGAGTGTGAGAGCGAGTGTGTGAGTGTGACTGTGTATGCGTGTAAGTGAGTGTGTATGCGTGTGTGTGTAAGTGTGTCTGTGAGTGAGTGAGTGTGTGCGTGAGTGAGTGTTTGTGAGTGAGTGAGTGTAAGTTAGTGTGAGTGAGTGTGATTTATTGTGTGTGTGAAAGTGAGTGTGTGTATATCCATGTGCGCGTAAGTGAGTGTGTGTGCGAGTGTGTCTGTGAGTGTGTGTATACTTGTGTGTGTGTGCATATGCGTGTGTGCGCGAGTGTGTCTGTGAGTGTGTGTATGCATGTGTGTGTATGCGTGAGTGTGTGTGCGTTAGTGTGTGTGTGAGTGAGTGTGTGTGAGTGAGTGTGTATGCGTGTGAGTGTGCATGTAAGTGTGTGTGTGTGTGTGTGTGAGTGTGTCTATGTGAGTGAGTGCGTGTGTGTGACTGAGTGTGTCTGTGAGTGAGTGTGTGTGAGTGAGTGTGTATGTGAGTGTGCTGTTCTCCAAATAAACGCGTTTTTCAAAATAGAGCTGCTCTCTTATGCACTGGAATTATTCATGCATTTAGCTACGCTTGGGGATACAAACAAACACACACACACACACACACACACACGTGTGATGCGCAGGAGGAAACAGTCCTTAATAAAGAAGCTGAAGGAGAGACAGACAGACGTTTACTGTTCAGTGGTGTAAAATAATCACTCTTCCACATCACAGCCTCATTATGCTAATCATCCATCGGGAAGCGTCGGGAATGCTGGGATGTTCTTCTCACACAGTCCGATATGAACTCATCTCTGGACTGCTTTAATGGTTTCAGGAGCAGGAGTTCTCCAGTGGCGTTTCTCAGGGACAGAACTGTCTGATCGGCTGCTGCAAAACCAACTTCGAGGAGCCCAGAAGTTTCCAGAGTCAGGTGAGAGTCACATGACCAGGACTGAAGGGATAATGGACGAAAACGCTGAATTATTGAGTATTCAATGTGGGGTTGTGAATATAGTCCAAAAATGTGACCGACTGAATCTAGAACCGCAGCGGCGTGTTGTTGTTGTTCTGGTTCTCTTCATCCGTCACGGCCCGAGAGGCGAGGAGTCACATGTTATGTAAGTTATGTGTTACCAGGCAACTAGCGATCATAAATATGGTGAAGATTCTGAGCCACCAGAGCGACTCTTGAGCCGTTCAGTCAGTGGAATTCATGTAGAATTTAAAGGAGTAGTTCACTTCAGAATTAAAGGCACATTATGCAGAAATTGTGTTTTAGTCAAACAGTGACCCCTATAGTCGCTGTGGAACACTTACACTGTCGTAAATAGCTATCTAGACATGTGGACATTTTTGGACTGGTCTAATTATCAACAATGGATGAATGAACAGCATCGTAAAAAAATGGCATACAACAAGCAAGCGCAACAACATAGAACGCAATCAAGTTTAGAAATAAGAGATTTAGGCTACTTAATCCATCAACAAGATCGCCAGGTCAGCATCGCGGTTGAATCCAGTGCTGCTTTTTAGCTCGCGCCAACTAGTGAAAGCCCGACCGAGTGGGACTGTCACAAGGAAATAGTCAAAGGATTCAGTTGCGAGTAAACAGTAATTTATTGAGCACAATAGTAGATATCCGTGTGGGTCAAAATGGAAGCAGACAGAAGAAGACTCAGGCTCGGCAACGCAGGGACGCAGTGGGCAGACACAGATGCAGGAACAGGTAGAAATTCCTCCGGGAAAATCTCAGGAAACCACAGCATGGTACAGGACTGGAATGCAGGAGAACACGGCGAGTAGAACCCTGGTAGCCTCAACAACCAACTGACAAAGAACGAGGTAACAAACAATATATCGGACATCCTCATTCAAAACAGCTGGCGCTGATCAGCTCATCAGCCGCGCCCGCCCTCGCGCTCACTCACACAACACGCACACACATAGCGAGGGCGAATCAGGGACTCTTTTCCGGTTCCTCACGCGGTCAGATTCTCTTTTCCTTTTCCAAATCTCTTCCGACCGCGTTTTCTTTGCTTTTTCCATCGTCAAGTATCACGTCTGAAATGCGCGCAAGTGTCTTCGTGCTTCATATGTGGTTGTTGATGTGTGTGACGTCGTTGCCGTAAAGCAAGTCGTGATTCTCGCGAGATTTGTCGGGGGCGCTCCTCTCAAACTTGCATTGCTGGTTTTTCCAGCGGCGACCCCGCCAAGCTTTATTACCAGGATGATTCGCCCTACTATGAGTTTGTTTACCACCGAAATGACTTTGAAGCTGTTATATCAAGGTACAATTCTTGCATAGTGTGCCTTTAAAATTTCCTGATAATTTACTCTCCCGCACGTCATCCAAGATGTTCATGTCTTTCTTTCTTCAGTGGGAAAAAAAAATTAAGGTTTTTGAGGAACGCACTCCAGGGTTTCTCCATATAGTGACTTCAATGGGGTCCAACCCGACCCGAAGGTCCAGATGTGAGTTTCAGTGCAGCTTCAAAGTCTCGACACGATCCAGCCGAGGAATAAGAGTCTGATCTAGACAAACCAGCGGACATTTATAACAAAATCAACATTTATATACTTTATAACCACTAATGCTGGTCCTGCACGAGCTGTGATGCGACACACATTACGTCATCATGTTGAAAGGTCAAGCGTGACGTAGGCGGAAGAACCGACCCAGTGTTTACAGAGCGAACATGCAAAGACTAAGTCAAACTTGGAACAACTTGTGTTCCGGTTCAGAAATGTAGAGTAGAGTGAAAAACTCCATCTCATTGTTGTATATAAATGTTTATTTTTGTTATAAATGTCCGCTGGTTTGTCTAGATCAGACTCTTATTCCTCGGCTGGGATCGTGTCGAGACTCTGAAGCTGCACTGAAACTCACATCTGGACCTTGGACCCCATTGAAGACACTATATGGAGAAAAAAACGACAGACTCATCTTACTAGGGCAAAATCACTGTAATTCTTAACTCTCCACCTCGACTTGCTTATTGCTTATTAATATTTTTACGGTTTTTGTTTTCGTCCATTGAACAGGTTCGGAGCCCTGATTGCAGATGGCCCATAGTGAAAATAATAGCTTTAGCTGATCAAAGCTATTATTTTCACTATCAGCCGATTAAAGCTATTATTTTCACTATGGGTCGTTTAAAGCTATTATTTTCACTATTACCGATACAGTTTATTAGCCGATACATCGGTGCATCTCTAGTAAAATCACTGTAACTCATCACCTCGAGTTGCTTATTGCTCTAATGTCTTAATATGTGTGTTTGTGCCAGACTGATGAGGACGACTACCTGATGGAGAAGCCCCTGGGTTACCTGCCTCTTCACCACGAGCTGGACAGTGGCCTCGGCTGGACTGACGGGAGTTTCCACCAGGGGGAGCTGTCGGGGGTGGAGACGGAGGAGGGGGTGGAGGAGTGCCACGCCCGCGGAGGAAGAGGAGGCTCGCCCTCGTCAGAGTCCTTCATCTCGTCAGAACTCAGCGACTCTGGTTTCTACAGCGTCAGCACTGGCGAGTTCCTGCGTTTCCAGCGTCTTCTAGAGAAGCGCATGCGCCATTACAATGCCCGACTGCACCACCAGGGGGAGCCGTGTTCCCGCGAACGACGTGACAGCCAGATTAAACACCCGCTCGAAGCCATCCCGGAAACGTTGACGGTACAACCTCAAAATGTCTGCGTGGGGTCGCGAGGATTGTCGCGGGTGTCGTCGGTGCAGTATCGCAAGGCGGAGCGACCATCTTTGAACAGGCATAGCTCTAGCAGCGGCTCGCTGTTTAATCCCGCGGTGCACTCCACGTGTAGTACGCCATCCGGCCAGCGGCGGGCGTTGCCACATCCGAGCTCTGTAGGGATGCTAAGGAGGAGCCGGACACTTCATAACCGCCCTACACCCATGGAGTACCGCAGACGCGCTAGTCACCCGGCTTCGCCTAATTATAGCAGCGCTACGCTGCATCCCTGCAGCCACGGAGCCGACCTTCCCATAAATCTCCCCGAGGAGCCGGACTTGCCACTGGTTATTCACCCGGCGCTCCCTACGCGGACTGCACACGCTATGCATGCGATGAGCCAACCGTCCCTGATCTCTCCCGCGGAGGAGCTCTGCTACATGCCTCCGAATCTCCATGAGCGCAGGATGCTAGCATCCACCGATCCCGTAATGGAGCAGCCGCCTAGCCGGCAACGGTTCCACACGCTAAGCCACACGCCCAGTCAGGATGCTAACGATACCTGGCCGAAACCCGCTAACCGCGCGGGATCGTGTGGAGGAGGTGGACTCTATAGCACCTTGGAGGGACACGTTCCAACCGCAGCCGCTAGGAAAATGCCGAGTGGGAACTTGCGTGCAATGCGGAACCAGATGCTACGGGACAGAGCGTCCCGACTAGCGGATGAGCGTAGCGGCATGAGCACGGATGAAGAGAGTCATAGCGAGGTACGCATGGGTCGTTACTGGAGCCGGACCGAGCGACGCGAACATATGCTACAGAAACAGCAACAGCTGCAGGCTAGAGGGGGCGTGGCTACGACTGGATTGGTGCAAGGGGTCGTGGGAGGAGCCAACGTAGATAGTTATAATACAGTTCTCGAGATGAGCCAGAGGAAACTAAGTCGCCTGAGGAACCGGAAGCTACTGGATGACTGGACCACCGTAGAAGAACTCCTGACGCACGGATCGCGCCTGAGCGAAGACGCCCGGCAGCTGCCCACGTCGTTGCTAACCGTCACAACTGTATAGCGACACTTGCCGAGTGTGTGTGTTCAGATGTGCGTGTGTGTGTGTTTGTGTGTGTTGGACCGCCCGCACTACACAAAGCTACCTCCTGAAATTGAGGTTTACTGTAGATATACAGATGTTTCCAAAAAACACCGTAGTAAATTGATTTTTAAATGTTATATTTGGAGTATCTCGTTTTGCATTGTGTTGTAAAAAATATGTTTTGTTAATATGGAGCGAAATCACTGCAGTTTTGATTCGACCGCATGAAGCAATACAACAACGCCAGACAAAACCGAATTTCATTTTGGTGCCAAGAAAAGTTTACGTTACGGATCAATTTAAGGTGGTGCTAACCGTGAGATTTCATTTAATTTCAGATTATTCGCAACTATAGCCTATAAACGACATCCGGATTACGTCACTTTTGCACAAAATTGAAAATTCCCTCTCAGACCGTCTTCCGCTAGCCGAGTGAATTTGTGGCGTTAGCACAGCTCCACCTTTCAATCGTGAATCTGATTCTCTGGGAATAACACCGGATAATCTAAAGGCAGGTCGTGAGTCAGATGATTGGGTGTTCAGGGTCATCCTGGAGATCAGGCAGCGGAAAACATGAGTGTGTGTGCGGGTTCTTGCACTATAACTGTAGTTCTGTAGAGTATTTTTAAAAGCTATTTTTCTTGTGCTCTTCACAATTGATGTCACTAAAAGGAACAAAGAACTTTTATAAAGACTCAAACGAGAATTATAAGTGGTGTCAACAGCAGTACAACAATTTGGCAAGAAACTAAACTGTTCGTTTGTTCTTGTTCGGTGCAGAATTATATTTTCACCGCACCTTTCCACAAACCAGGGGGTTTCAATTTTACAATGGGCATCATGAAACACAAGCAGAATGAATTTAGCACAAATTGCGGTGAATATACAGAAATGCAACAATTGACATGATTTTCTGAACGATTTAAGGTTATTCACACCAAAGACGTTAACTAACGATAAAGAATTCTAATTTAAAATAATATACGCCCACAGAGGAATGGAATCACTCTTGTTAAACCACTTTTTCCAGCTAACGAATGATAAAAACATTAACAGCCAATCAGAATATATCCTGCTTTAAAGAGCTCGAACATTTAAAACGATAAAACTTCAGCACACACTTATAATAAACAGAACGTTGGTGTGGACAGTAATATCGTTATAGTTATCATTATCGTTTTTGGTGTGAACGGGCCTTTACACATAATCGTCCTGCTCCCGTTTCATGAGTGAGACCCAATTATTTTCCAAAGTAGAGGATGAAGTATTTTCAGAGTCACCTGTCATCGTGGGATGTTTGCTGATCTTTATTTTGAGCAGAAAATCAGGATCTTTCCCACCTGCACTATTTTGGGTGCACGAGCACTGGAGTGTTTACAATTTTTCCTCACAACTGTGACTCTCTGCGACGCATCTCGCTCTCCCGCCCTTTCTGAGGTGAAATCACGTGACGTCCTTTTCACCGTGAGTCAAACGCTGTGAATAATGGATTTGAACGGATGAGACGTGCGCTATTAACGGAACTCTGCCTCTCTCTCATTGGATTTTGCTCGTTTCCACTTTTAGAAACCATTTTCTTGGAATATGATGTACATGTGGTTGTAATAAAGATGAGATTTTAATTAGCTACTTCAAGTGTTTTTTTGGTCCTTATTGAAGTTGGTGTTCATAAGTGAAATCTGTCAAAACTAATTCATTCTCTGAACTGAACAAATTGCGATCAGTGTTCCCACACACTTTAACCAACTAATTTACCATTCGTTCAGGAATATTACATCATTTTATAACAACTGCACTCTCAAAGAGAAATAGACTGAATGATATATTCGAACTTTTTAATATGTTCAGGCAACTTGACCATTAAGATTATCTTATTTTTCATCGTTTTTCCCCCCAAGATTATTTGACAAATTATCCTAATTAATATTTAACCCAATTTCGATAGAATTACCAAATGTAATATGATATTTTTGCGTTTCAATGGGAATCTGAACCGCGATTACCAGTCAGGTGACGAACAGAAGGATGATTCTTCACTGAAGTTGAGTTTTTCTTGGATCACTGACATTAGCTCAGATTTTTAATCTGACCACTTCAAATGTTTAAGAATAAAACACAAAATGGAATCCAACAGTAGAAAAGCACAAAATGGAACCGAATAACAGAAAAATGTCTTTCTTGCTCCCTCTCTTTCCTGCACGCACCACTGACGCCACCTGCTGGATGGACGCTGGTAGTGCAGAGACACAAAATGGAGGCCGTTGATTCACCTCATGATCTGTAGAAATGCGAACAAGGTTGATTTATGTTCTTGATTCCTTTGAAAACATTCATATCAAAACACTATTAAATATATATATATTTTAAAACTATTAAATATTAACAAACAAACATCCAAACTAAAAAATATTAACCCCAAAAAAGAAATTATGATATTAAAAATAACGTACATTTTTGCGAATGTTTAAAAGTATTTTGTGAATGTTAAAATAAACTAGATGAAACAAAAACACATTTAAGATATTTACAAAAATAAAAATGTTATATTTAAAAAAAAATTGTAAATGTCAAAATAAACTTGATTACACATTAATGTGAACAGACTAAAACGTTAAACTAAAACGAACAACATCTGAAATGAAATTGAAAAATGCTAAATTTAGCCAACTGAATTAAAAATTATTTTGTGAACGTTAAAATGAATTGGATTTAACAACATGAACAATTTCAAAACTAAAAAACAAACAAAAACATTTGCGAAATTCTTGATTCTATTGAAAACATTTGTATCAAAACACATTATAGACAAAAACCACAGTCTCAAAAAACAAACTGGTTTAATATGTATATAAAAAAAACACGACCAGTCTAAGGATCTCACAGAAAAAAACAAAACAAATATATCCGACTGAGTATATGACCCAACTAGTGCTTAAACACAGAGACAGATCGAGCTACTCTAAATAAAAAGACATGCTTCCCTCTTTCTTATCACCCTCTAAGCAAGGAAACGAAGCAGACGGGCTTCAGACTGTAACGTCCTTCTGTAATAATGCAACTCAATTCCAGTCCGTAGAGTTCATATAAAAGAGCCTCATTCATCCACACCGACAGGGGGCGCCTGTGTCCAATCAGTCCAATCCCTGCACCTCATGCGGCTTGTACACCGACGAAACAAGATTTCCTGAAAAAACAGCATTTGTTTGGTTAAATTTAACATCTAAACATGTCAAATTAACACTTTTATGAATAAAAACGCATTGTTGAAATCCTTCAGGTCAACGTAAAGGCCCAAAGAGCGAAGCGACAAAGCAATGCAAAACTAAAGCTCATATTGATCCATTTATGAGGGAAATTTGCATATATTAATCGCAAGTTCATGTGCTACAAGATACGAACAATCTGAACATTAAAAAATGCTTAGTTAAAATAAAGTTGAAATAAAATATAAATATTAGATGAAAAACTTAGCGAATTTTTTTTAGTTGAAGTAAAACTTCAAACTAATATACATGACAAAAAAAAACAAAACAAAAACTCAAATGAAAACTAAAAAAATAAAAGCTATTTACCATAATTAAATTAAATACTATAAAAAACATTATAATTCACAAATATATGACTCCTTTGAACTGATTCTTTCCAAACGACTCGTGAATCATGCTGCAATGATTGTATTTGAACATGCGATTCGCTCGTCTCTTAAAGATTCACTTTCAAAGCAAATTTTCGTAGTGATAAAAACAACGTTAGAAATAACAGAATAAATCAAATATTGTTTCATGGGAATGAATCATGGAAATTATTAGTTCTGTCGCTGTGAAGATTCACGCTGAAGAGATTAAACAATATGAACAAACAAAAGCGATATTAATACAAAAATGCGAAATTTCGCAAATTACATTTAAAATTTATATTGCGAATGTCAAAATAAACAGAATTAATAATACGCACAAACAAAAATGGACATTTAAATAGAAATAAAAATAGTGTGAAATTATAGGATGAAGCGAAAAGCATTAAAACTACACTATTATTATTAAAAATAAGGTAAAATCTCGTAAAGACACATTTTTACAGCTAAAAGTGTCACGTTTAAAACAAGTTTCCATAGTAATATATCAGTCTGGTTTTTGTTTAGCATCTAGTTTGGACGAGTTTTAGTACGTCACAGTGTTGCATCATGGGAATGATCGGGTCTGTCGCAGAGGAAGTAGACCCCAAGTATCCGATCGCACACATGCGTTATTGTGTAAACAGCACAGGGGTCAGAGCAGGAAGGACAGGAAGGCAAGCAGGAAGTAGATGCGGCCAATCACAGCTGAGCTCAAGCCGCGGGTCAAAGGTCGCAGCGGGGTCTTACCTGGCGTCCCCAGCCCCTCTGCTCTGTCCCGGCAGACTTTGGGTCTGAACGGAGAGTCTTTGTCTTTACCTTTAGATCCCTTGGGTCGGCCCGCCGCCTTCTTCTTCGACTTACTGTCGCCCTTCACGCCCAGTAAGGGATGAACCTCTGAGAGAAACACAAAGGTCAGAGGTCAGAGGCGTGGCCTGATGGCGAGCAGTAGAAGAGGATCCGACGCTCACTAGTGCTGGGCGTTATGAACAAGAAATTATATCACCGTATTTTTCTAAATTATACCGGTTTCACAGTATATGACGTATTTTCTTTCTTTTTTTTTTTAAGTGTGACTGTGTGTTAACCACATGTTCTACTGAGTGAGAGAGGAAACACTGCAGTAGATTGACTTAGAAAGCCCTATTTTACTGTCATGAGTGAATATTGTAGAGAAATCCACACTAGTATTAATACAGGTTTGCAGTGTTTATAAAGAGGTCCAGCAGGAGGCGCTGTAGGAGCAGCAGAAACAGCGGTTTCCCCGGTAACGCCTGTACACAAAGCGGTTTCCCCGGTAACGCCTGTACACAAAGCGGTTTCCCCGGTAACGCCTGTACACAAAGCGGTTTCCCCGGTAACGCCTGTACACAAAGCGGTTTCCCCGGTAACGGCAGTACACAAAGCGGTTTCCCCGGTAACGGCAGTACACAAAGCGGTTTCCCCGGTAACGGCTGTACACAAAGCAGTTTCCCCGGTAACGGCTGTACACAAAGCGGTTTCCCCGGTAACGGCTGTACACAAAGCGGTTTCCCCGGTAACGGCTGTACACAAAGCGGTTTCCATGGTAACGGCTGTACACAAAGCGGTTTCCCCGGTAACGGCTGTACACAAAGCGGTTTCCCCGGTAACGGCTGTACACAAAGCGGTTGTAACGGCTGTACACAAAGCGGTTGTAACGGCTGTACACAAAGCGGTTTCCCCGGTAACGGCTGTACACAAAGCGGTTGTAACGGCTGTACACAAAGCGGTTGTAACGGCTGTACACAAAGCGGTTTCCCCGGTAACGGCTGTACACAAAGCGGTTGTAACGGCTGTACACAAAGCGGTTGTAACGGCTGTACACAAAGCGGTTTCCCCGGTAACGGCTGTACACAAAGAAGCAACGCTCATAAACGCTGCTTTATCGGGAAAGATAAAGAAAGATTAAATGAAAATAACATCGAAACTTTTCTAAAGAGAGGCAGTTCCCTTCATCTATGTAAATATATAACAAATATATATATATATATAAAAAAACCCGCGCCGCGTTTCGACTGAGAAAAGTGCAGTGCTCATTAGGGGTGCACGATTCAGAAAATGTCACGATTCGATTCGATACCGATTTTTTGTCTCAAGATTCGATTCAAAAACGATTCTCGATTCAAAAAACGATTCGCAGTATATAAATGTAGTTTACTTTTTCCTATGTGATTGATTGCAGTAGACACAATTTAAAAGAAAAAAAACCACAACAAATTAAATGTAGTTTGATATTACTTTATGTCTTCAAACAAAAATAAAAACTTTTGCAACTAAAAAGTGCAAAGTGCCAAGCTTTGCCCAGCTTTCAAATACATTTAATTCAAGTTTAAAATAAAACTTAAATAAAAAGCTTTTACATTTAGCTTTACAGTGCTGTAGTCAGATCAAACAATTATGCTAAATGTGGTTTAAGGACTACTTCAGCTACCAGGCTGACTGTTGAAATGTGAACTCGACTGGCCACATTGAACTTCCTAAAAATATACTAATGTCATAGAACCCTTGCGAAATAATTTTAAATAGATTTAAAAAAGCCACCGCTACTGGTAACATCTATGGTTAGATTGATTTGTTTAGATCCAGTGAAGTCGTTCATAGGCGTAATTTGCGGGTATCTCCAGTTAACTAGAGCATTCATTTAGTTCGCTATTAAATAAGAGATCTGTTGTTTTTGAAATCAAGCTGAGCGCTCGTGTCCGCTGCTATGTGTCATGGATACAGTGTTCTCTGTGGCTCGCGCAGTCTTCACTCGGACGCGCGCTTCATATCGCCGTTGTGGTTCCGGTGAAATCTCAAAATAAAATGCACACAAACGTGATGAACATATTCGGTTTTTAAGAGAGAGAGAAAAAACTATACGAGTGCGGTTTAGAACCGGTAACCTCTGACACGCTTGGCAAAAGATCTACAGAACTCAAACATAAGATCTGCGGATCGATGCATTTATTCACGGGTTGAGCAGAGAGGCTGC